GCGTTGGCCAACTGTGCCTTGAGCTCTTGGGGCTTTGAATCCCAGGAGAACCTTTTCCAGACCAGCCACCTTGTGGAGTGGATTTTATTCCCAAAATCCCACCTAACCCCAAAGATCCTCCTGATTCCAACACCCAAGAGCGTTGGCCAACTGTGAAGACGTCCCACCTGCGGGCACACCTCCGGTGGCACACGGGCGAGAGACCCTTCATCTGCACCTGGATGCTCTGCGGGAAACGCTTCACGCGCAGCGACGAGCTCCAGCGGCACAAGCGCACGCACACAGGTAATCCCGGAGCTTCCCAGGGCCTCCTGCCAGCCCAGGGATCAGGGAAGGACTCCCAGATTTCTGGGACAACGTCAAGGAGCCACCCGGGGCCGACGGCACCGTGGTCGAGAGCGTTGGCCGACGTGTCTTGAGGTCTTGGGGCTGTCGCTTCGTGCCAAAGGAGCCTGTTCCAGGCCTGAGCACCTTTTTGGGGAAGAGCCTTGTCCCAAATCCCACTGAATCATTGGCTGACTCCTGGGCCTGCATGGAATGGGCCTAAGGATCTCCTCAAGGCCAAACTCAGCATGGTCAAGTGTTGGCTAACGGCTCTTGAGGTTTTGTGGTTGGATGTTGCTCCCAGGGGAGTCTGGTCCAGACCTGATCATGCTCAGGGGGAGGAATCTTGTCCCAAAATCCCAACTAACCCAAATCCAACTCTTGACCCTGCACAGGAAACTCCAAAGATCCTCCCAATTCCAACATCCCAACACTCAAGGGCGTTGGCCAACTGTGCCTTGAGCTCTTGGGGCTTTGAACTTCCCAAAATCCCAACTAACCCCAATCCAACTCTTGACCCTGCACAGGAAGCTCCAAAGATCCTCCCGATTCCAACATCCCAACACCCAAGAGCGTTGGCCAACTGTGCCTTGACCTCTTTGGGCCTTAAATCCCAGGAGATCCTTTTCCAGACCAACCACCTTGTGGGGAGGAATTTATTCCCAAAAATCCCATCTAGCCCCAAAGATCCTCCTGATCCCAACACCCAAGAGCGTTGGCCAACTGTGCCTTGACCTCTTTGGGCCTTAAATCCCAGGAGATCCTTTTCCAGACCAACCACCTTGTGGGGTGGATTTCATTCCCAAAAATCCCACCTAGCCCCAAGGATCCTTCCAATTCCAACATCCCAACATCCCAACACCCAAGAGCGTTGGCCAACTGTGCCTTGAGCTCTTGGGGCTTTGAATCCCAGGAGAACCTTTTCCAGACCAGCCACCTTGTGGAGTGGATTTTATTCCCAAAATCCCACCTAACCCCAAAGATCCTCCTGATTCCAACACCCAAGAGCGTTGGCCAACTGTGCCTTGAGCTCTTGGGGCTTTGAATCCCAGGAGAACCTTTTCCAGACCAGCCACCTTGTGGAGTGGATTTTATTCCCAAAATCCCACCTAACCCCAAAGATCCTCCTGATTCAGTAGAACCTCTTCCCTGATCCATCTCCCCCCTCATTCCCATTCATCTCTCACTCCCTTTTCCCCCTTCCCTTTCCCAGGAGAGAAGAAATTCGCCTGCCCGGAATGTCCCAAACGCTTCATGCGCAGCGATCACCTCTCCAAACACATCAAGACCCACCAGAACAAGAAGGGAGGTACCACCAACGTGGCCATGAACGTCTCGGCCGTCCCCATAGACACTGGGACGGCCACGGAGGGCAACGGTGGGGCCACCCCGTCCACCCTCATCGCCACCAACATGGTGGCCATGGAAGCCATTTGCCCCGAGGGCATCGCCCGCTTGGCCAGCAGCGGCATCAACGTCATGCAGGTGGCAGATCTTCAGTCCATCAACATCAGCGGCAACGGCTTCTGAGCCCCCGAGGCCGTGAGGGAACCCAAGGACGACACGAGGCCACGAGGGAACCCAAGGACACCACGAGGCGACGACAGAACTCCACACCACGAGGCCACGATGGAACCCAAGGACACCAGGAGGTCATGATGGAACCCAAGGACACCACGAGGCGATGGCAGAACCCAACGACACCACGAGGCCACGATGGAACCCAATGACAACACAAGGTGACATCACAACTCAATGACACCACGAGGCCACGATGGAACCCAATGACACCACGAGGTCATGATGGAACCCAACGACACCATGAGGTCATGATGGAACCCAATGACAACACAAGGCCATGATGGAACCCAACGACACCGTGAGGCCATGATGGAACCCAATGACAACACAAGGTGACATCACAACCCAACGACACCACGAGGCCATGATGGAACCCAGTGACACCATGAGGCCATGATGAAACCCAATGACATCACAAGGCCATGATGGAACCCAATGACACCGTGAGGTGATGATGCAACTCAATGACACCACGAGGCCATGATGGAATTCAACAATGCCATGAGGCCATGATGGAATTCAATGACACCATGAGGTCATGATGGAACCCAGTGACACCATGAGGTGATGTTGCAACTCAACAAAACCATGAGATGACGACACAACCCAATGACACCATGAGGTGACGACGCAACTCAGTGACACCACGAGGCCATGATGGAACCCAGCGAGACCACGAGGTCATGATGGAACCCAATGACACCACGAGGCCATGATGGAACCCAGCGAGACCACGAGGTCATGATGGAACCCAATGACACCACGAGGCCATGATGGAACCCAGCGAGACCACGAGGTCATGATGGAACCCAATGACACCACGAGGCCATGATGGAACCCAGCGAGACCACGAGGTCATGATGGAACCCAATGACACCACGAGGCCATGATGGAACTCAATGAGACCACACAGCCATGACGGAACCCAACGACACCATGAGGTGACGATGCAACTCAACGACACCTTGAGGCCATGACGGAACTCAACGACACCATGAGTTGATGTCACAACTCAATGACACCACGAGGTGACACCACAACTCAACGACACCACGAGCTGATGACACCTCCATCACTACTTCCTCCTCCCGCCCGACCGTTGTCGCCTCCGTGGTTGGTGACCACATCGAAGGCCAGAGCTATATGTATATTTTTTTCCATGTTTTTTTTCCAGCTTGGATTCATATTTTTGGCCCTTTTTTGGTTATTATTGTTCTTGTTGTTGGTTTTTCTCTCTTTTCTCCTTCCTCTTCCCCAATCCATGAGGTTTCCGTGTCGCCCTCGGAAGTTGTTGCCCTTTGGTGTCCTATTTATGCCTTGGTTTAAAAAAGTTCCTTTTTTTTAGGAAGACAGATGAGAAAAAAAAACAAAACAAAAAAACCCCAGAAAACAGCCACCAAAACCTAAGGAAAAATAGGAAAAAAAAAAACCAAAAAACGAAAAAAAAGGCAAAAAAAAAAAGAGAAAAGATTCTATAT